GAGTGTATTGTATGTGTTTATTGGTTGTTTTCCAAAACCCTGTGGGTGGTACTAATGTGTATATAAGAACAATAAACCCACAGCTCTGACTGTTCCTGCTTGACCCTCAAAACAGAGCCTTGTCTCGTTCTTGGGGGGATTTATTGTAAGCTGTTCCAGTTTGACTGCTAGGAGTGTAAACCTATTCGTATGGTTTTTCCTATTCGGCTGTTTACAGTATTTGTATGTTTGAGAGCATTCATATGCTTCTCCAGTTTGGTGGATTGGTGTCTACAGTAGCTGCCTGAATCTCTGGAAGGGGAAGATCTCCTAAACGTCAGTTTAACCCTTTTATGCTCGGGGTGCCGTAACAGTCGCCAATACTCATTGCCAGTATTTTTGTAAATATTGGTATCATGGTTTTGGTTGGCGACTATTGTAATTGTAAATTGGCGACTATTAAGGGCTTGGAGGTAGCCCACCCTGGGGGATAGGCATCTCAGTTATTCTTAATTTCAGTCTGAATATAGCTGGATGTGCTATGACAGAATGTTAGCCCCTTGGATAAGACTGATTTCTCAGGTGTTGATAGGTGATAGTTGGAGAGGTTAACAATCCCAGTATTGTCCATGCAGTGTTCTTGGTAGTTTTTTTTTTTTTCAACTAGCTTATTGACTCTTTTTCTGGCTATTCTCAGCCAACCTGCACCTTTCACTTTCAGGCACATCTTCTGCTATTTATGACACCTCACCCCCATACGCACACACTGTCACCCCCACATGCACACACTGTCACCCCATACACATACACTATCCTCCCTATCCTGTCACTCTCACCCCTCCAACCATACTAAACTCACCTGCCCTTGCTTTACCACAATTACCGTATCAAATTAACCCCCCTCAATCCTATCAGACTCACCTTCTCTTGCACTGTCGCACACAGTCCCCAACCCTGGCACACTCATCCTGTATCAGTCTGTCCCACTCACCCCCTTCACCCAACTACACTCACATAAGCCCCTCCAATCCTGTCTTCCAACCGTGCCACATTCACCCCAAATCCTGTCACACTCCCCCTCAACCCTGCCACACTCACCCTTTCACATTAATCTAATTCTGCCACATTAACCCCCTAATCTTGTCACATTCCCTTCCCCTCATTCTGTTACACTGCCTCCTCCAAACATAGCACATTCACCCCAACCCTGTGATACACCTCTTACTATGCCACATGCAGCCTGTCACATTAACTCCCTCCAATCATGTCAGACTTCCCCATGCCCTGTCACACTCCCTCCTCCAACCATGTCACAATAGCCCCCTATCATTCTCACCCTCCCTCATCCTGTTATACTCACCCCCTAACCCTGCCTCATTTACCCCCCTCACCCTGTCACAGTTACCCCTTTACTCACCTTGTCACAGTCAAACTGAAGACATTTATTATACACATATGCACAAAGGTCACAGGTAGCCTCCATAAACACCACACAACGCAAGCAGCTACCCCACACACATACGGTCCCAGACACATACTCTTAAAGACATACATTCACACACAAGGATACTCTCGGTCAGAAACACACACACACACACACACACACAGGTACACAGTGCCAGAAAATCAGAAATACACACACTGGCAGTAATGTATACATGACTGCAAGGCTATGTAATCATACCCCACAGCTGTATATAAATGATTAGCATAATTGCTAATTAAATTTGTTTATTGCAAATTTATTTAGTTCGCAAATTATGCCATAACTACAGTCGGAGAGCTCACAACACAGCAGCACAAGGAGCAGCAACACTGCAAGCCTCTGAACAATGAATACAGAGACTAGCTCTCTGTATCCAGCGCTGCAAGCTTGTCCTTCAATACAACTACAGCACCTTATTCACACAATGCAACCCCTATTTTCTTTTACCACTATGGGTGTTAATGGGCCTCATATTTGAATTTTACCCAAGGCCTCACAAAATCTAGAGCAGCCACTAGATGGCAGCACTGTAATGACTGTGTAAAAAAGAGCAAATACAAATATACAAAAATAAGCATTGCACTTAACCCCTTAAGGACACATGACATGTGTGACATGTCATGATTCCCTTTAATTCCAGAAGTTTGGTCCTTAAGGGGTTAAAGGGAAACTGCAGGTCCCCTCTCCCTCCCACCCCCCAATCCCCGGTTGCTGAAGGGGTAAAAACCCCTTCAGTAACTTACTAGAGGCAGCGACATGTCCCACGTCGCTGCTTCTTCCTCCGCCACCGCTCCCCCTAGTGATTGCGTCGGCCGTTGGGCTAAACTGATTCCGCCCACCGGCCGGGGAGACCATTAGCGCTCCCCATAGGAAAGCAGCCGCTCTAGCACGTCTAGCGATACTTCCTGTGCTATGATGCAGGAAGTGCCCTCTATTGGCTGTCTAGTAGACAGCCACTAGAGGTGGAGCTAACCCTGCAAGGTAATTATTGCAGTTTATAAAAAAACTGCAATAATTACAGTTGCAGGGTTAAGAGTAGTGAGAGTTGGCCACTCCAATGGGCAGATGTGGTCTGGGTGCCTGGAGTGTCCCTTTAAACTCCCACTCCATCTGGGTGGCATCAATGATTATAGTACCCATCAGCCACAATAAATACAATAAAAACCAAACAAATTGTGCACTATTCTGAATCCCCTGCATACTTAAATAACTAGAGGACCCATGCACATTTAAACGGACTGGGCTACAGTGAGCCAAGGCTCTTGATATTTATCGCTCCCCAACATCTTATTTAAGCTCAAAAAGACACATTATAAGTGCTGAAAACAGGCACCCCTAGTGGTCAGGCACATGTAGGCAAGTGTCTACTCTGCCTAATGGAAAATCTGTCTCTGTCCATAGACCAAGTCTCATGATCTTGGAGCACACATTGAGTTCCCACAGTCGTGGCTAGTATTGTAGTATTATTTTTGCATTGCAAACAATAGTGAAATAATTAATCAACTTGCTATATCCAAATGCTTTTTGCAATTATAAAAACAATCTTAAAAATTCTATTTGAAGGGCTTTTTGTTGAAATGTATTTGTACCAGAACATCCTAAATCCTTGGGCAACCACCATTATTCAGCAATCCTATAGAGGCTGCATCATGCCTTTTAGATCTTTTGACCTCTCCCTCGTGCCTGTAAGAGCTGGAGGCAAGATTGAAGTGATTTTGAAATGGAAACACAAATTCTGTGACAGTGAGAAATTGTGCAAATACTCCCAAAGTATGTAAAGCTGACAATCATGTAATAGTTGAAGTCTCACATGCACTTGGTAAGACAGAACGCATGACATGTCTTGCTTATCCCGGAGAATTTTTCAAAGGCATAAGACATGGCTATATAAATATCCTGTTTTATTAACTCCCTAAAGATCAATGCCACAGCAATCACATCATGAAATAAAGGATTGCTATATGTCTGGTCCTTAAGAAGTTAAGAGATCATTTTTTTGCTGCAACACAATATCACAGTTAATATTTAAACTCACACACAACATAATTTGGCAGACAATAACCTCTCTGTCTTCTGTCCATTCTTTTAACAATACAAAGATTATCTTTTCATCTACACATTCAGGAACTAATGACATTTCTTCTACATTGCTTTTTGTCTTGTATTCAAGATTTGTAAAAGATGATTTCAGACCCATTTTAATTATCCCTCTTCCATAATATTAAAATCTGGAGATTAGAGATATTTTGCTCCATATCTGTCTGGCTTAAAGTATTACATTTATTTCATTGCTATGTTCCACAGAAAAAAATACCATGCTGTTCTAAGCAATTTAGAATTGTGACCTTCTATATAAACTGATTTATAAAAGATTGATATCTACCAGTAGCTGATAAGGGGTAAGTAGGAATAATTGTTTCATAGAACATTGTTTCAACATATTCTGTGTAAAGTACTAGAGAAAAGGAAGGGCACGCATGGTTTCTAGTCAAGGTCACACATGTTTTAAAATTTTGGAATCATCCCATCTTAAACCCCTGACTTTCTAAAGTATGCCTGCATTTGTTTATATGTATAATTGTGCACCTATATATATGTGAGGGTGTGTTTTTGAGCCTGGGCCTTTATAAGTGTACTCGTATGCATGTATCTGAGTTTGTGTCTGAGTGTGATTGTATAGTTTAGTATGTTGCTGCACATGTTTGTCTATAGACGGTACACTTCTGTATAAAAAATGTGTATGTAAATTTAAGAAATAATGTGTGCATTAAAACCCTGGGAAGACAGGCCAAAGGCTAGCCAGGAAAAGGGGCATGTTTGAGTGAGAGGAGTGTAGATTCAGGGGAGGTCTTGAGTGAGCATCAGGGGTGGAGCCCTGGATAAGGGGTGGGTAAAATAAATATATATATATATATATATATATATATATATATATATATATATATATATATATATATATAAAAAATATAGGTGGTTATTTTCTGTAAGGGGTTCAGCCATTTTAATAATCTCAGCTTGGAACAGCTTCCTCCCTCCCTCCCTCCCTTTGTGTTGTAGTTTATGGTTTGTGTTTCCAACTTGTGTTTCTTGTCACAGTGTTTGGCTGAAAAGGTTCCTTGTCAACCAGGGTTGGACCAGCTGTCCAGTGGAAAGGATGATTGGGGCTGATCCTCCCCTAATCTCGGTTATGATTAAGGGTAAAGACACCTCCCTGGACTGACAAGGAAGGGGGGACATGACTGCGGCTAGGCTAAGGAGTCTTGAAGGAGTAGTAGAAGGGAGGGGTATAGATGGATACATAGTTGCTAAGATGGGAAGACAGTTATAAGGACAGTTAGGGGAGGGGACTTACCAGTCAGCTCTTGGAAGTGCAGGGATCCTGACTTTCATCTGTCCTAATTTGCTGACCCCTTTAAAAAAAAAAAAAAAAAAAAACTCTATTATTCTTCAGAATTTCACCTTACCTGTTTTTCCTGATTTTCTGAGGGTGATGGAAGTTTCCCAGGGATCGTTGGTGGCCCTGTTGCAGGCTTACCGGGCTGCACATGGTGCAGGCTCATTAGCAGCGGTGTTGGCCGGCATGGACGGTGTCCCAGGTGAAGAGGCAAGGCCAGTGGATGAGGGCTGGCGGGCCAGGCGTTCAAGGCCGCCGTCGCAACTGTCTCCCAGCCCGGTAAGAGGAGGGCGTGAAGGAAGAAGACGCCGGCGATATGGAGTGGCTGGGGATGTGGGGCCGAGCCTTGTGTCGTCCCCCCGAGCTGTCCGGTCCCAGGTGAGGGCTGCAGCTGCGTCCGGCAGCCATTTCCAAGATGGCGGAACGGCGGGAAGGTCAAGGAGCCCTCCACCTTCTCTTCCGGCGTGGCCGGAAGTGACGTCACAACGCCGTTCGCGCACGGCCGGCGCGCCGGAGATGACATCATCAGCCAGCCGACGGGCAAAACCCGGAAGTGGGTGCCCGTGCTGGAAATAGGATGCCGGGCGCCAGGAGATCACAAGCACCGGCTGAAGACAGCTGCAAAAGGGGTGCTGTGAGCCGGACAGCAGCCCCAAGGAGGTGGGAGTCCCCAGGACCGGCAGGTTCACGGGGTGCCGCGGATCAGGCGGCAGCCCCAAGGTTGCAGTGCTGCCAGGATGCCGGCGGTCGGGAGGCCATGTCGGCTGCAGCCCCCCTGGGAGAAGATTATTCGTGGTGAGTATGTGGATCTCCTTTCTCTCGTTCCGCCGGACAAGGAGTCCGTGGACAGACCGCGACGTGGCGAACAATTGGACGGCGAGAATGGTAAGGCTATCCCGCGTACGTTCGGTAATTGGCTGCAAGGATTTAATATCTTTGCTAGCGTGCTAGTGCATCGTTTCCCAGAGAGGGCCCCCTCGTTATTTGGTTATTTGGACTTAATTTGGGGCGCTTACAAGGTTTATGGGGGGCAATGCTGGTTCAAATACGACCATCAATTCCGCCAGAAGATGGCGGCGTGTCCGGGTATGGGTTTTGGGGTGCAGGACGGCAGCCTGTGGCTGCTACTGATGACCCCGTGTAGACCCTCTCCCATTCGGGGGCTGCCGGCGTCCCCACGGGTACGTCGGCAGGTCAGCGGAAGGGAGTCTGTTGGCTCTTCAACGAGAGCCACTGTGAGTGGTTTAGCTCCTGCAGATTCCGGCACGAGTGTGCCCATTGCGGGGGAGCCCACCCGGCTCTCTGTTGTTTCAAGAAGGGCAGACCGTCTGCCGCCAAGGGCTCTGGTAGGGACGACGTTCCTCGCGACGAGGACTCCGGTGAGCGTGGAAAAGATGCGTCCATGGCTAGGCAAGTATCCTAAGAGCGACGTCGCAAGCCTTTTGTTCGACGGTTTTACAACGGGTTTCTGGATTCCTTTTGTGCTGTCGGACGAGGGCCGGTTTGCTGGTAATCTTCGGTCCACGCGGGGTAAAGAGGGTTTATTACAAGAAAAGTTGGAGGCGGAGATTCAACGGGGCCGCATGGCCGGCCCCTTTGATTCCCCCCCATTCTACAACCTGAGGGTGTCTCCATTGGGTCTGGTACCCAAAAAGGATCCGGGAGCTTTTCAGTTGATTCACCATCTCTCGTACCCTTCGGGGGTGTCGGTCAACGATGACATCGACAGGGATGCGTGCTGGGTGCGTTATGCGTCCTTCGACTCGGCATTGCTCCTCCTTCGGCGGGCCAGTCGTGGGGTGTTATTGGCAAAATCGGATATTGAATCGGCCTTTCGTTTGTTGCCGGTTCATCCGGATTATTTTCACTTGTTGGAGTGTTTCGCGAACGGTTGCTTCTATCATATGTGCATGCCCATGGGCTGCGCTACCTCTTGTTCTTATTTCGAACTGTTTTCTTCTTTTTTGGAGTGGGTCACGTCCAGAGTTTCGGGTTTGGGTTCCTTGACCCATTACCTGGACGATTTTTTGTTTGTCGGTCCGTCGGATTCCCAGGATTGTATGGCATTGCTTCAGGTGTTCCGGCGGGTGGCGTCGGAGTTCGGAGTTCCTGTTTCCGAACAGAAAAAGGATCGGCCCGGTGTTGGTCCTTTCGTTCTTGGGTATCGAAATTGATACCGAGAGCATGGTTTTCTGGCTTCCTGAGGAGAAGTTGGAGGGGTTGCTTCGGCTGGTGGACTTGGTCAAAGGTTCCAAGAAGGTTCAGTTGCGACAAATGCAGGGCCTTTTGGGGCACTTGGTTTTCGCATGTCGGGTGTTACCGACGGGTCGGGCATTTTGACGCAGATTGTCCTTGTCCACGGTGGGGGTGAGGGAACCCTTCCATTACATTCGGATCACGAGGCACCTCCGGTCGGATCTGGCGGTGTGGAGCTCCTTCCTATGATGTTACAACGGGCACTCTTGCTGGTTAAGGGAGGCCACCTCCAATGCCGCGTTGGATCTCTTTACCGATGCCTCGGAGTCCGTTGGTTTTGGAGCGTATTTTCGGGGTCAGTGGTGCGCGGGGGAGTGGCCGGAGGATTGGCAGTCTTCCCTATTTCGAAGAAATTTGACCTTTTTGGAACTGTTTCCGATAGTGGTCGCGTTGGAACTGTGGGGCGAGGATCTGAGAAATCACACGGTGGTCTTTCACACGGACAACATGAGTGTGGTTCATGTGATTGCCCGATCGTCCTCCTCGTCCCCACCGTCACCTCGTGCTCCTTAGTCTTAAGTTTAATGTTTGGGTGCGGGTGCAACATGTCCCGGGTGTGCAGAATGTGGTGGCTGATGCATTGTCTCGCTTGCAGTGGGAGCGGTTTCGCGAGGCAGCGCCAGAGGCGCGGCGGACCAGTCTGCAGTGTCCGGACTCCTTATGGAAGCTCGATTTCGAGGCCTGATGGGCTTGGTATCGGACTCCTTGGCGGAGTTTTCCTGGAAAGGCATACCGGGCAGTGTGGAGACAGTGGCTGTCATCAGCACGGGACGGGGATGTATCCATGGAAACGGGACGTACGGAGGCGACTCTTGTGTTGCTGGATGACTTGGTCAGGAGAGGTAGGTCTTGTGCAGCAGCGGAGAAGGCGCTGGCTGCCTTGTCTTTCTTGTTTCGATTTATGGGCTGGCAGGATGTTACTAAGGAATTTGGGATCCAGAGGGTGTTAAAGGGGTGGCGGCTGTGGCGTCGCCCAGATTGTCGTCGCCCGATTTCGGTGGAAATGTTGCGTCGGATTCTTTTAGTCTTGCTGACGGTCTGTGGTTCGGAGTATGTATCGAAGTTGTTTCGCGTGGCCTTCTCTGTCTGCTTTTTTGGTGCCTTTCGCATTGGCGAGTTGGTAGCCCCGAGCAAGGGGAAGGCCTCGCCGTTGGCATTGTCGGATGTGCGGTGGTCTACTTCCACCGTTGACATTTTTGTGCGGCGATCTAAGACGGACCAGGCGGCCCGGGGTGCCTGGGTTCGTTTAGGGGCCACGAGGGACGAAGTCTGTCTGGTTGGGGCCTTCCACGATTTTCTGGAGGTGCGCCCGGAGCGGGGAGGCCCTTTGTTAGCTCACTCGGATGGGTCTCCCCTAACACGGTATCAGTTCTCGGCGATGCTGAAAAGAGCATTGGCCGCGGGTGGGATGGATGGTCAAAGGTTTTCGGCCCATTCCTTTTGGATTGGGGTGGCTACCCAGGCAAGTGTATTGGGCTACTCGGCTGCGGGCATTCAACGCATTGGAAGATGGGAGTCGGGGCGTTTTAAGTCTTATGTCCGACCTCATATGCTGTAACCCTCTTCTCATTGTAGGTTGTCGGCCCCGGTACGCGTAGATTATAGGGCATTCCTATGTGTACTGGGCAGCTAGGCGAGCTGAAGACCGGGCCTACGGACGGAATTTGGGGTTCTCGGTGGACTTGGCCCGAGTCAGGTGGAAGGGCATTAGGGGCCTCCGGTGGCAGCAAATTTATCCAGAGTTCATGGCGCTGCGTAAGTTTGTGTCAGGGCCGATGGTGGCGGTGGTCCATGCGGGCGGAAACGACTTAGGGGTATCCAGGACTGTGGACCTTCTCCACGCGATTCGGCACGACTTGGCGAGGTGCATGGCGCTGTTTCCGGACATGACCTTGGTTTGGTCGGAGGTGGTTTCCAGGCCGTGCTGGCGCGCGCTTCTGCACTCTCGCGGTTTGGAGAAGAGCCGGCGCAAGCTTAATATTGCAGTGGGGAAATTTGTACGGCGGCTAGGAGGGGTGGTCGTCCGACACGTGGAGCTGGAAGGAGAGAACCAGAACTTGAGGAAGGATGGGGTCCACTTAAATGAGATAGGGTTGGACATCCTTAACACTGTTAAGCTGTTGGCGGGGGGCGCGATGACGGCAGGAGGCGTGAAGGGAAGTCGTCATCGTGGTGGCGGGAGCCCTGGCCAGCGCAGGCAGAAGTGGTGAAGTTGCCGAGGAGGCTTGGGGAGTCGCAGCCTGTTGGGAGCTGATGGCGGAGGCAGGCTGCTCTGGACTCATGGTTTGTGGGGATAGACCTGTCTGTTGGGCAATCACCCCAACAGCTGACAGTATGATTATGTTGCTGGCATGGAAAGAATAAATAAAGCTGTGGCCGATGCCCTTACCCAACTTAATTACGGTCTCTGTGTGTCATTGGGGAAAGGGGGGCATCGGGTGGGTGGTACAGTCATCTAGACAGCAGTCATGTATGTGCCCACTGAGCCAGAGGCAGGCTAGTGGTTAGCTGTTGATAAAGGTAAGCTAAGGAATGGGTATGCTCATCTATATGGTCCCACTATCTTCACACATGTGCCTGTTTTGCCTAGAACCTATGTCTGTGTGCATTTATGTGAAAGGGAGAAAGTGTTTTGTTTTGTGTGTATATGTATATATATATATATATATATATGTGTTTATGTATAAAAGAAAATGTATACGTATACAAAGAAATTGTTTGAGAGTGTGTGTGTGTATTTATATATATATATATTAGCAAAAAAAAAAAAGAGGATTACAGAGAGAAAACATGTCCTTAGTTTACTTTTTTCTCTTAACAGATTTAAGTCAAACAATAACTGAAATGCATTATTTTCAAATTAGTGCCCAATTGCGCTGAAATAAATGCCAGTCAATTTATTACCAAACTTAACCCTAAAATAAATAAAGGAGGAAATATAGAAATAATATTGTAAACACACACATCACACCCTCTCACTGTTTTAGGTACTTAGTCAAGGACTACATTAACATAAGTGCTAGTGGAGTCAAAGCTAAAGACCCATCCATTGCAATAGGCCAAAGCGGTCTGACCTTTTTATTTGTTAAACCACAATTTACAACAATTTTAACTATGTTATCAGAATGTTGGTATCCCTGTATATGGCTTATATGAATTTATTCCTACATTTCAATGAAATCTCGGGTATAATTGTATTTTTGACAATGATGTTATAATTGAATATAAAATAAAAAGAATATTTTTTTTTTTTTTTTTTAATGTAAATCCTTTATTGGAGCATATGATGCCCAGTAAACAAAAGATGTGCAAAAAAATTCCTAATCATGTATATATTTACATGATTTTTTTAAATTTTATTTTTAATTTAACAATTTCCCTGCCTAGGGGGGAGGGGGAGAATGGGAGAGGGGAGCTCCAGTTATATTTGTATCGAGTCTTACATTAGAAGAAGATAAAAAAAATTGCGTTGT